TATAAAACTAAAAATTAAGATAATAAACATCAATATACCTCCATTACTGGTAGTTCGCCGTTGCTACCGCAATATCCCCATGAACTTTTCAAGGGCGATCGTTCTGCCTCCATATTCCAAATTTTGCGGATGCTAAAAGCTAGTATTTAATTTATGGTACGAATAGGGAACAATCTAAAATCCCATACAGTACAGTATCCATATGACCCATGTAAGTGATCAAGTTTAACAGTGAATCTATAAATAAGAATTAAGTTCTGATAAGAGAAATTTTCTTAAAAAAATACAATGTCAATAATATGTACATATATATATATATAACTATAATTACCAACGGGTCCGTAAGTGTCTCGTTTTGGTGGTGGCAGGTTCTATACACGAAGTGTAGAATCTATACTAGTCGAATAACATTTTACTGTTCTGAAGCAATAACCACCTGAATTTACGGCTGCTGTATGATCTCTGTAAGTAATTGTTGGCTCAATATCAGGAACATCTGTAGATTTGATTATTAATTAAATTGTTAGGAAGACGGATACAAAACGACAATGCATACAAGCAACTACCTATGACGATGACACTTATGACACCTACGAGTACGACATCTACAAGCAACAACTCCTACGATAGACATCTACAAGCGACGACAAGCGAAAGAAAGATCGGCACACCAAAAAAAATACACTCTACATATATAAAAAGGTAGATTAATAATAATAATAATAAACGTAATAAAAAAAAAAAACTGATACTGTATATATAATATGTGGATCCGTGTAATGTTAAGCGCGAAAAGTTTTTATTGTTATAATAATTCTGATTGGTTTATTTTATTTATATACCTGAACACAGTATCATACCCGGATCTTCTAAATATTTATTCCTATTTGTATGCCCGGGTCTTTTACATTTTACCAAAAATTGACCCCATACTATAGACCTGGGTCTAATTCATAGGGGTCTGATATGTGGGGGAGTCGTTTATACGGCAGTTTACGGTAGTTAATTAAGAACCATTCTATCAAACAGAAGTGAATTCATTGTATAATAATACTTCAATTAAAAACTCAATCGATGTTTAATCTACGTATATACGATACGTTATTTAAACTCAACCTCCTGCATTTTTCTTTGTTCATGACAATACAGTAAATTTTTATTGTGTGAGGCAATGTACAAATTAGGACGTTTATGCATTGAAGATACTATTATGTACTGTATATTTATATGTTTATTGTTAGAGATTTTCTATGTATTATACCCATTATAGCATTACTAAACTGTTTATTTTTTTGTATAGAAGAAAAGTTAGAGCAAATAGATTAAGAGTTGGATAGGCAAAACTGCCTATGAACATTATTATTTTTTTTTTAAATTGACTCGATAATATTCATATACGTTTAATAATTGATATCATATTTCTTATATTAAAACATTATAGAATTAATTGGCTTCTTTTAAGATTTTTATTTACTTTGTTTTATCATTAACACCTCTAATTAATGTGCATATAATAAACGCATAATTGATTGGTATGGCAAAGGCATATATATACATATAATAATAGGCCAGCTGTGAGTTAGTCATCATTTTTGGTTTTACCTATTTTTTTTCTTTTAATTTTTTTTAAATATTATACATACCCATCAATTTAATAAAGCTTATGAAATAGAATATTGGCTCATGAAAATTAACTAGCGTCAATCAATAGACAAGTACTTTATTTGATAGGGAAGTAGTGCATTAACAACATGGCCTATGACCAAAAATAATATACAAATAACAATTAGGGCTTGTAATTATATATTATGTGTTGAAATAGCTCAAATAGCCAAAATTCATGAACTCATGTGGCTTTTCTAGACATACCAACTAAATTAATATAAATGAATAAAATTTAGTTTACCTAAACACATTAAAAAGCACAATGATAACGATCTATGAATTTGAGCAGCTTACTTTAAAATATATCCAATAAGCAGTTTTTATACCCACTGATTATATTAACATGAATAGAACAAAATTTTATGAAGCCCAAGTAAATATTCTCGAACTCAGTTAACTGATTTAACATAAATAAAGTAAAATTTTGTCGGAGGTATATAGTAGAACTAAAGTATTCATGTAAATGAATGAAATTAAATTACAGTGTATTGGTAAATTTCACATACCTGAATTACGTATCTTAATATATAACAGATAAGAGACCTTTGTATTTACGAGCAGTGTTGATCACCCTTATAATTCCAGTACAGTAATTTGAACTTATATGTTCCAATTAGAATTTATAAGTCCAATGTTCAAGTTTATAAGTTCTATGGAGCAAAGTAATCCAATTGCCTAACGCTAGATGATAACGATTTCAATTAATTAGGTCATACCATGCACATTATGTTAAAAATAAATGGTTTAGAAAATCAATCCTCATTTTGCAATAACGCATATGAGTGTACTTAAAATAACACTTATATAGTATGTATCGCTTGTCCTTCCTTTATATAGAGTGTCCAGGCTTATACAATTTCAGAAATTTTTCTCTGAAATTGCATAAGTCTGGACACACTACTTTTATACCACAATGCATAACTATGAAATACATAAATAGAATCCATTTTGCTGCTTCATATAATGTACTATTTCTCTTTTTTCTTTCATGAATTCAATATTTAACATATTTGACTATACAGTATCTGATTCAAATTAAGTTATTAATCCTATTATGAAAAGAGAAAAGTGGAAGAGTAAGTAAAAGCTAATGAAAGCTATACTCGCATAAATCTAGTAGCAAAGATAAAAGATGAAATAGATTAGTAAAATATATAATTTTGATACTACTGTACTAAATCGTAAAAATTCAATTTTTATATTCTAGTATGAAAAAAAAATTCCTTAGAAAACTTACTTTTGTTATAGTAAACTCCCGACATAGTGAAGATTCGATTATAGTAGAGCTTATTATAGATCTATTAAACTTCAACTCAATATAGTAAAATATACTCTTTCAACTATAAGCTATAGTTCACTACAAGTCACTTTCATTATAGTGAACTCTTGATATAAGTATAGTAAAGAATAATTTATATAAAAACCTTCCCAGTACAGTGAATTTACTAACAAACTTCTGATATAGCGAAGGCTTGATAATTTTCTTTTAACGAAAATGACTTGTATAATAAGGGATATATATCTTACTGATTTATATATTACCCAAATTTTACCTAATAAAAAGCAGTTTTTGTCTAAATAAGTGCTATGAGAAGAAGCGGTTTTTATATAATAAAGTAAAAAAAAAAGCAGGTTTGTATAATATTGTTAGTGAATTTAATCTAATAAAAGCAAAAAAAATCAGATTTGTCTAGAAAAAGCGAATTTATCTAATAAAAGGCAGATTCATATAAATAAAGTGAGTTTTACATATTATATCCAATAAACGCAGGTTTTACTTTGTATCTCAGATTTTATATAAAATAACCAATCAACACGAATTTTACTAGCTGGTGACTCAGGTTTCACCGTCGTTTTATTTTTATTTTTTTCTTTTTATATATTAAAATAATAAATTCTCAACAAATTTCTTGCTAATCTAAAGAAATAGCTATTTTGATATAAATGTAGTAAATACAACTCATCTTTAATATTTAACTAAACTGTAATGAATACTATTATTCTATTCTTTGCAAAAAAAAAAAAACTTTTTGCTGTAAAGCAACTTTCACTATAAATTGATTTTGTTGTTGTTACAACAAAAATTTAAATTGGTAAAATAATTAAAAGGAGAAACTAACACAGCCTAAGCTGAAACTTTAGCAGCCAGTTGAATAAAAATTTTTTTAAGATATTTTAGATAGCATAACAAAAAATAATAAAAAAATAAAAAATATGCTTTTATTGATTGATTGTGATGCTTAAACATTATTATAATTATTCTTTAATCAATTAATTGAGATACTTGGCTATTATATTATTATAATATTACAAATAATTGATATATATATGCCTAGTATTGTTTCTTTTTTACACTCCAATTTCTAATTATAGAGGTCTAATCTAGATAAATTTGCTACCTATTTATCTGCATTATTATATCCAGATATCTATCTGATTATATCAGATATCCAAATAAATTTATCCAGGTTATTTGATATATCTGTAATAAATATTTAACAAATATTCAAACAGATATCTAAACGGATATATTTATATAACTCTTCTTAACGATCACTTTTATTACAAAAATCTAAAAATTCTTAAAAAATACAAGCATTTATAAAGGTAAAAACAGTCTGAGAAGTAGTCCTTAAACTCTGTAACTCAGCAGTTGTTATTTAGAAGTGGTTTTCATATACTACTTGCTAACTTTCTCAGAGTTTATCACTCACCATGGGGGCCAGCACTTGTCATTTAGAAATAGTTCTTATATGCTATTTGCAAACAAGCCCAGAGTTTATCACTTACTGAAAAAATAAGGAGAGTATTTGCATCTTTCTATAGATTTAGTATATTAAGTAAAGAAAATACATACTCTATTATTAAACAAAACAAAGTAGTTTCGTTTCTTTTCTCTGCTTTTTACTACTCTTCCAAAATTTTTCACAAAAGTGGACAAATTAGATAACCTTCTAAAAGATCAGCATTATTTATATCTCCCAAATCTGGACAGTTTCAGCAGACTGTGATCACATATCTGGTTTGTTTTGTTTATAGACCATGCTGCTTTATATAATACTGAGGTTGGCCACTTATATTATTTAGAAGTTCGAATGATTTAGTTAAAAAATTTATTTAATAAAGCAAAGCTTTACACTAGAGATATACAAATATCGTATTTGTTATATAATTTTTTTTAGCCTAGCACAGATAATAGTAGTGCTAAAAAGATAAAATTTTCTACTGTCTTTTTTGTTTTCTTTTCTTTGTAATTTTTTTTTATATTTCCTTTTATATTTGTTTTTTTTTCTTTATTCTTTTTTGGGGGGTTTTTTTTTTCTTTGTTTTTGTTGTTTTTGTTTTATTTGTGTTTTTTGTTATCTTATCTCTATTTGTTGTATACTCTTTTAAAGAAGAAAAAATGTTAAGAAAAAGGCAATCTTGACAAAGCTAGTAATAAGCTTTCAGTGATTTTTTCGAGAGTCATCTAGTAAGTTAGATGCCAAAGAGGAGTGAATTATTGCTGCAGCAGATTGCACTTGGGCACTATTATAAGTAGCTAAGTAAGTCTTTATTGAAGTGTAGAAGAGTAGAAAATATTGAGTTTATTACAAGCTTTTTGTTCAGAAACTATGTATTTTGATTACGCACTCCTAATACAATAAAGGCTAGATTGCTAAATTAAAAAAAAAGATATCTGAACAGATAAATATATTTAGAAACCCTTGCATATTTTTATACACCCTTGTATAATTGAGCATAATTGAGCATATTTTATGTGAAATTATACAAGGAGTGCATAAAAATATACAAGAGGTTTCCAAATAATGCCTTACAAAATATTGCATTTCTTGCATAAACATTCTGGATAATTTATTGAATAACTAGATATTTATCTATTAATCTATTTTAACTGTTTATCTATAAAAATCAGATATCCAATAAATAAATAAATAAACAGTTAATAGATAAAACCTCTACTCAATTACTCTTATATTTTGGTAATTAAGACCAGTTTAACCCAAAGTTTTGTTTAATCTCATGAATTAAGCATAGAAAAAAAAAGAACCAATGAAATTGAGTTCAAAACCCTATCTAATCTTTATATTAAATATTAATTCATATTTCAGTAAAACTGAAATCTACAGAAAAGAGAAAATTATTTCAAGCAAGAAAAAAAAGAACTAATGAAATTAAAACTGATACTTATTTTTAAGACTAGCATTCAATATAATCTCCACACTACAGTACTATCTAACATTAATTCACATTTTGTCGAAACTAAAGTCTACAGAAAAGAAAAAAGTTAGCTTAAGCGCAAAAAAAAAAGAACTGACAAAATTGAAACTAGTACTTATTTAACTATTTGAGTCCAAAACATAATATAATCTTCACACCTGGTGTTAATTCACATTTTGGCAAAGCTAAAGTCTACAGAAAATAGAAAAAAGTTAGTTCAAGTGTGAAAAAAATTAAACAAATGAAATTGAAACTGGTACTTATTATTTTTTAAATCAGTATTTAGTCCTACACTCTGTTTATTCTATATACAATAGCACCACCTGGTGTTAATTTATGTTTTGGTGAAACTGAAACTTAAAAGTTATTTTAAGCATAAAAAAACAAGAACTGACAAAATTAAAACTAGTACTTATTTTTAAGACTAGTATTTAATCCCACCCTGTCTATTTTCTACACTATAGCACTACCCAGTTTTAATTTGTGTTTTAGCAAAACTGAATCCTATAGAAAAAAGAGAATAGTTATTTCAAGTACAAAAAAAAAGCGATAAAGAAATTAAAACTTATACTTATTTTTAAGACCAGCATTTAATATAATCTTCACACTACAGTACTACCTGGTGCTAATTTATGTTTAGCAAAACTGAAATTTAAGAAAAAAAGAAAAGTTATTTTAAGCAAGAAAAAAAAAAGAACTGACAAAATTGAAACTGGTACTTAATTTAAGACTAGTATTCAATTCCACTCTGTCTATTCTCTACACTATAGCACTACCCAGTTTTAATTCATATTCTGGCAAAACTGAAGTCTATAGAAAAGAGAGAATAGTTATTTCAAACGTGAAAAAAAAAAGATGACAAAACTGAAGTCTATAGAAAAGAGAAAATAGTTATTTCAATTGTAAAAAAAAAAGAGATGATAAAATTAAAACTTATAAGACTAACAATAAATATGATTTCCACTCTATAGTACTACTTGGTGCTAATTCGTGTTTTGGTGAAACTAAAACCTAAGAAAATAAAAAAGTTATTTCAAGCATAGAAAAAAAAAAATTTAACAAAATTGAAACTGGTACTTATTTTTAAAACTAGTATTCAATCTCATCCTGTTTATTCTCTACTACCTGGTTTTAACTCATGTTCTGGCAAGTCTATGGAAAAGAGAAAATAGTTATTTTAAACATGAAAAAAAAAAGATGCCAAAACTGAAGCTTATAGAAAAGAGAAAATAGTTATTTCAAATGTGAAAAAAATGAGATAACAAAATTAAAACTTATAAGACTAGCAATCAATATAATCTCTACAGTACTACCTGATACTAATTCATGTTCTGGCAAAACTGAAACCTAAGAAAAGGAAAGTTATTTTAAGCACAAAAAAAAAAAGAACTAACGAAATTAATTAATCTCAATCTTCTATTCTTTACACTATAGCACCACCTAGTTTTAATTTGTGTTTTGGCAAAATTGAAGCTTATAGAAAAGAGAATAGTTATTTCAAATATGAAAAAAAAGAGATGATGAAATTAAAACTTATGCTTCCAGAATTTAATATCTAATCTCTACACTACAGCAATACCTGGCATTAATTCATGTTCTGGCAAAACTGAAACCTACAAAAAAGAAAGAGTTAGTCGAATTAGAAAAAGAAATAATTGGTTGAATTATAAAAAAAAAAAAAAATTGATAAAATAGAACTGATACACTCTATATAATCTTAATATTTGAGTAATTTGTGACAAAAAGAATGATAAATTAGTTTAAAACAAACAAAAAAAAACTCAATAAAATAATAGTAAAGTTGATACTTATCTTTATTATTTGGTACTACTTTTTAAAAAAAATATTAAACAAATGTTGCTTGCCTAAACACAAAGCAAACTAGATACAAACAAATTTAGATTTTATGATTTAGATCTATTCTAGATCAGATTAAGGAAATGAAATAACCACCTAATCTGATACTGGTGACTGATCACTGCTAGCAACAAACATTTATTACTATAAAATTTTAACCAATCAAAAAAGAGGTGCAACAAATTTATATTCCCTTTATAATATTCCATAATTGATAATTGCAAAAGATTTTGTGTTGTTTCATAATTTTTGTACAAGTTTTTGATTCATAATAACTTATATAGTATTACATTTATATATTTTGCTAATATACTTTATAATATATTATTAAAAAAATTAAATAAGTATAAATTTACAAAAATTTATAAAAATACAGATTTTTGCAAAATATTACAAAATTTTTTATAATTTAAAATTTTGCTCCTGCTATAGTTACACAGTCTAACTGAAACTTGAGATAACTATAGTAAGAAAAACATAATAATAGTCACATAATGTAATTATAATAAGAGTTAATTTAAATAAATAGTACTGTCAAAAAAATGTGACTAATTCGAAGTGAACTGTATTTAATTTCTGTAGCTATAGCTGCTAAGTTTGAAGTTTTGCACAAATTTTTATTTAATTTTTTTTGCAGATCTGTACAAAACTACACTAAAAAAAAATTTTTCTAATACTATAATAGATAAATTTTAGTAAATTTTATAATCCAAATAAAACCCCAAAATTTAGTATTAGTTAATTTTAGCATTAACTCTTATACTTATTTTGGCCAAAATTTTTTTTATTTTTAGCCTTTCTATTATAGATTGGATTTTAAAATTATAGTTGTTAATAGAGGATATTATATTTTTAAATCTGGATCCTCAAAAATTAGTATTCGCCAAAAACCAACATTAGCTGTAACATTTAATAACAATATTTCATAATTCAATAATCAGAATCGCATAATTTTTTTTACCAATCGACTCGTCTCAACGGGAGAATCGTTTGGTGGAAAATCATGCGATTTTAATCACTTAAGTTATAGATACATTATAATTGATAATCACATATATGAATATCTTACTTTTTTTCTGCTCTACTTGCACATAGGGATGTGAATCGGATTATGAGCCAGCTTTTGTAAAATTGTCAGTTTTAACTGATATTTGGTCCCGTCTAAATAAATTAATAAACTTCTTCTAGTGTTCAGAGTTCTGTGGTGCATAAATCTGCTCATGTTAAAAATTCTTTTTTTAAAAAAATAATTAAAAATATTTTTAGAATGAGCAGATTTATGCACCGCGACATTCTGCCCATGCTAGTCAGGGATTTCTTGAATAAGCCCTGGGGTACGGCGCTATACTTTTTTTAGCTACGCACGTCGTACGTACGTACCGGTACCTCTATTCCAGATAATAACTTCTAGCCGGCAGTGATTGTCGTCTGCATATGGTACATCCGATATATCGTATACCAATCAAATTTGATATAGCGTCAGCTGATATAAAAGGTAACTTTTTTACAGGGGATATTTGCAACCTCTGTCTTACAACGCTCTAGAATACAAATGAATAATATTAGTGAAGGTGTCACGGCTACTGGCCTTAGTCGAGAGAACTTACAAGCTATATTTGCTGTGAGTATTATAGACTCAAAAATATATTATATTAGTTGATTTAAGCATTTTTATTACCGTTTGTGGCTTTGATCTAGAAATGAAATTTGTTTCCACTTTTGCCGCATATCCTCGAAAAAAAAACGATCATATAGTTAACATATGGAATGTGCGAGAACGAAGTCACTAAGAAACTTTTATTACTTTTAGAACGTACAAGCAATGCAAGCCCGTGGCGAATCTAATAATCCTGAATATGCCCACAATATAAATCTTTTGCGAGCTCATCACCAACACCAACAACAGCAACAGCAACAACAACAGCAACAACAACAACAACAACAGCAGCAGCATGCTTCAACCGCTACTTCAAGCAGTGATGTCAGATCTGCCTCAACGACAGCTCTGACATCACAAACTCCCTTATCGCAAGAACAACTTTCTGCTTTAAAATATCAGATATTGGCCTTTAAGCTAATATCTCATAATTTAGAGGTTCCTACACCTTTACAACAGGCAATGTTCTCTCCTGGACATTCCCAGGGCTTGTCTACTCAGGAATTGTCGGGGACTCCTTTAACTGGAAAAATTGTTGAAGCGTCATATAATCATCATTCACGGGCATCACCCACCCCGACAACAGAGACAGTATCTTCTGCCCAAGCATCAATCTCGACGCCCCCTTATAACGCCTTTACAAATCCTTTAACTTATTTAAAACCGGTCAACACCTATTCTCATGCATCCCGTCAACAAAGGATGTTAATACCGGCAATAATGCCAATTGGGCTAGATCCAAATGAAATTGCAGCTGAGCGGGAGCGTCAATTAAAGGCCCGCGCTCTACAAAGAATTCTTGAACTCGAATATACGATTGAAGCTGGGTCATATCAAAACCAGAGTGAGAAAAATCGAATACTTATTCAATTGAAAGCACTTAAATTATTAGATAAACAAAAAAGGGTAAGTCACCATGGATTTCAAATTAATTTTCTTAATTCGGGAAGTATTATTTATATATTGTTCGGGTTTATTATAGCTGCGTCAAGAATTTATCAAAGGCATGGCAAAATCTACAACACTGGCTACAACTACAAATCGTTCTAATTATAGAAGGATGAAAAAACAGTCAATACGTGATGCTAGGATCACAGACAGGCTTGAAAAGCAGCAACGTGAAGATAGACAACGTCATCAAAAACAAAAACATTTAGATCGAATACAGAGCATTTGTAACCATGGACGAGAAATGATTCAATGGCATCGTGTAAGCCAAGGGAAACAGCTTAAGCTTGGCCGCACAGTTGTAAATTATCATTCGCAAGTTGAAAAGGAAGAACAAAAGAGGATGGAGAGATTATCTAAAGAACGTCTAAGAGCTTTGAAAAATGATGATGAAGAAGCCTATTTGAAACTTATTGATCAAGTTAAGGATACAAGAATTACGCATTTGTTAAAACAAACAGATCAATATCTAGATTCTTTAGCCCAAGCTGTTGTTGCTCAACAACGTGATGATTTACACAACGATCCCACTGTAAGAGGTGAAATTGAATTAATGGACGAAGAGGATGTCATTGGAGAAGATGAAAACATAACTATCGTGGTACGTTAAGAAGAATATGTCCGTTTATACGCTTAAATTTTCATTCTAACTTGTTATTTTAAATTAACGATATAGAATGGAAAAAAGGTCGATTATTATGCTGTTGCCCATAGAATTAAAGAAGAAGTTGAACAGCCAGGCATGTTGATTGGAGGAAATTTGAAGGATTATCAGGTAAATTAGATAAAATGTCCAACTATGTTAGACTATATTAAATCATGATTAATATTAACCCATTAAACATTGTAAAAGGTCAAAGGACTGCAATGGATGGTGTCACTGTATAATAATCGACTGAATGGTATTCTTGCCGATGAGATGGGTCTCGGTAAAACGATTCAAACCATATCTTTAGTTACATATTTAATAGAAAAAAAAAAGCAAAATGGTCCATTTTTGATTGTAGTTCCGTTGTCGTAAGTCATGATTTTGATTTATTTATTTATTATTTTATGTAAGTCCTTAATTGTGTATTATGAAATACAATAGCACATTGACAAATTGGACAATCGAGTTCGATAGATGGGCTCCAACTGTAAGGAAATGTGTTTACAAGGGTGCACCTAATACTCGTAAAGAACTTCAACAACAGTTTATCAAACACGTCGATTTCCAAGTTCTTCTTACAACATACGAATATATCATAAAAGATAAATCTATACTAAGTAAATTACGATGGGTATATGTGATTATTGATGAAGGCCACCGTATGAAAAACACTAAGTCCAAATTATCCGTAATTTTGACAAACAATTATCAATGTCGCTATCGTTTGATTCTTACGGGAACACCATTACAGGTATTATTATTTCTAAAAATCTTTACTGTTTAATGTCTTATTCCTAAAATAATGAATGATATGTTTACAATTTTTGTTTAGAATAACTTGCCAGAATTATGGTCATTGTTGAATTTTATTTTGCCAAGGATCTTTGATTCCGTAAAAAGTTTTGACGAATGGTTTAATACACCATTTGCGAATGCCGCAGGGCAAGATAAAATAGCACTAAACGAAGAAGAATCGCTACTTATCATTCGACGTTTACATAAGGTTGTGTTTTATTATATATGGTGTCAAGTTTGATATTTGTTTCATGCTCGCATCAAGTTCTGCTGGATATATTAAGTCGTAGATACCAAAATTTATGCTAAAATTATGTAAATACATTGTAGGTGCTGAGGCCGTTCTTATTACGTCGATTAAAGAAAGATGTTGAATCAGAATTGCCCGATAAGGTAGAGACTGTGATTAAATGCAAGCTTTCAGCGTTACAACTAAAGCTTTACAGTCAGATGAAAAAACATGGCGTACTATTTGTTAATACTGGGGAAAAAGGGTATGCTATTATATAATTATTTATTTGGTAGAATTAAGCGAGCTTATTAGAATTTTCTTTAATATATTCTGTAAACTATTACTTTATTTTTCATAGAAAAACCGGAATCAAGGGTCTTAATAATACTATCATGCAATTGAGAAAGATATGTAACCACCCATTTGTTTTTGAAGAAGTTGAAAAAGACATAAACCCTGGAAACACCAATACTGCTTTGCTGTACAGAGTATCTGGAAAGTTTGAGTTATTGGATCGTATATTGCCTAAATTCTTTTCCACAGGACACAGAGTAGGTATAATTTTGTCGTTTACGTAATAATAACTTACTACATTATTCGCATAAATATGTTAATAATTTATTAATGTTGTGGTTATAATTACTTGCTATGTTTGTATATTAGGTCTTGATTTTTTTCCAAATGACAGCTATTATGACTATAATGGAAGATTATCTTAATTGGCGTGGATTTAAATATCTAAGATTGGATGGTAACACAAAGGTATTTATGGTATTTATTCTGTAAGAAACATTGTACGATGATGATGGCTAACAGGTGTGTTAAAATTATTCCAGGCAGAAAACCGATCGGATTTGCTGAAATCGTTTAATTCTGTGGATTCGCCTTATTTTGTATTTTTACTTAGTACTAGAGCTGGTGGACTTGGTCTTAATCTGCAGACAGCTGATACTGTTATTATATTCGACTCTGATTGGTAAATATAAAAGTTTATTTATTCTATATGGTCTGAATTTGTGGCTGATCCTAATTTTGAATTTAGGAACCCTCATCAGGATTTGCAAGCACAGGATCGTGCACATCGTATAGGTCAAACTAGAGAAGTCCGTATATTACGGTTAATCTCACAAAAGTCTATTGAGGAGACCATTTTGGCTAGAGCTCAATATAAATTGGACATTGATGAAAAAGTTATAAAAGCTGGTAAATTTGATAATAAGAGCACAGATAACGAGCGAGAAGAATTTTTGGTAAAAAAATTTTTTTTCCACTATATGCACTAAATTTTCAATGTATATTGAGCGAAGCTAACGTATTTAACATATTGAATAATTCGTACCTTAACATATAGCGTGAGATTTTTGGAGGGGATAATGACGAAATAAATGATGTAGAAGATGATGAGGAATTAGATGATGAGGAGCTGAATGAGCTCATAGCTCGTAATGAAGACGAACTTGTTAAATTCAAAGAAATGGATCAAGAAAGGTCACAAAAAGAAGAGGCTGATTGGAAAAAATCTGGCGGTAAGGGAAAACGGCCAGAAAGACTAATAGGGGAATATGAATTACCACCTGTATATATAAAAGAATACAACACAATTGTACAACAAGACGAACCAGGAGTAGAATATGGCCGTGGTCAAAGACCAAGAGGGTCTGTACATTATGATGATGGATTAACTGAAGAGCAGTGGGTTAATGTAAGAGAAAGATTTAATAAGCATATATATATATATATATGTATAATTCTCAAAATTTTTCGAAAATTTCTCGATATATATTCTTTACACAGGCTATTGAAGATGAAGATATTGATGTCGAAGAGCTAATTGCTAAAAGACAGGCTGCCAAAAAGCGGCGTTTTGCTAAAAAATCACAAAAACCTCACAACCCTGGACACCCGGATATATCACATATCTCAACACCACATCCGGATGAATCAAGCGCGGATACATCGGAATATAAAAAGAAACGTGGACGACCACGAAAAGATGAAATGCCCAGTGTTGATGATGATAATGCACACGACATACAGTCTAAGCAATCAAAAAAGAAAGGAAAAGGAAAACGAGTTGAAACGAGCGATTTTGAAACATTTGATCAACCAAAAATTGTAATTTAATTGTTTTTATGAACAGTACTCGTAATATTCATAATGGTATTTTTGTAACCTGCTTTGTTTATTAATTATTAGAAAAAACGAAAGCAATTGCCTAAAAAATTACATGAACAAACATCATCTGATACTTTATCGGCCCATACTCGGGATCGGATGAGACGTATTTTTAACAGGTGTTACACTGCGGTTGAGAACTTAATGGATGATACTGATGGGTTAGATATTCATTTCATATTATTTTATTTAGATTTGAATGTCGTTTATAGGTTCGATGCTTTCTGATTTGGTTTTATTCGTTATAGAGAGCCTCGGCAACGAGCATACCTTTTCCTTACACTTCCTAGTAAGAAGGAATATGATTATTATTATACGGTCATTAATAATCCAATTGCAATGGATACAATAAAACGTAGAGTCAAGACGAATTTTTACCAATCAGCAGCCCAATTTCGGGATGATTGGCATTTAATGTTTAATAATGCAAGAACATTTAACGAAGAAGCATCAACAGTATATAATGATGCGGAAAAATTACAAGTAAGTTAATGCTATATTTGTGTATTTTTTTATTCCTGCAATTAATATATATATTCATAATTTTAGGAAGTATTCGATGAAACGTTTGAAGAGCTTTGTCCGGGAGGTCAAATTCTTCCATCAGGAGATGAAATGGATATTTAGATTATAGAAATTTTTTTTTTTTATAAAAACGTTTTGGGTATTTCGTGTGAAATATAAACTCTGAATATTACAGTAATTTTCTAATTCCATAAAGCTTCGATAAGAGACTTATTGCAATAATAAACAGATTATGTAATAACTGTATGCAAATAAGAAATGTAAATTATTTAAGTCGGTATAACTTATAAATTCATTAAGCATTGATCACAATCATTAAGTAAATGGTTAATTTCTTTTTATTGTTCTGTATTGAACATTTTCAGTATAAAAAAATATTCTATTTATAATATTTCATGAGCCGAAAATTATTGTTGTCGAAAGCTCGATGTACGTACGTACGCGTAGCCGCGATTATAGTAGGCAATCCTTTCCAAATTTGAATTTTGGCAACGTTTCACAACTTTTTGCTGATAATGTACTGTACAGTACATACGTTTAACACTAAAATTTTCATCAATTTTTTCAACATGATAAAACTACCGAATGAATGTTACTATGTTATATTTAATAATCTCCGGCATAATTACAAAAATTTATTATCATGTGCACTTGTAAACCGGCAATGGTGTAGAATTATTATACCAATTTTGTGGAGTGAACCAGAACACCATTTTAAAGAAATAGGACTTATAAGAATACTTCTTTTAACGTTAAATGCTGAAGAGCAGACTTTATTAATTCCTTTTAATATTAACCTTCCAATTTACCAAAAATCACTATTTGAATATACAAGTTATATCACGTCTATTAACAGTTATTTGTACGATGGAGTCTTGGCTTAACTATGAAAAACATCAAGTAGGACGTGAGCTTGAAAATGCAATTAAATGTTCTTTAATTGCAATGCTTTTACGAACCAGCAAAAATCTTAAATATTTATATCTTGATGAAATTATTTGCAATCAAATAATTTTTGAAAATCTTTATGAAAACACTACTGTAACCTCTGTAGATTTACACACGTATGATGATATCAGTAATGATTTTATATCTCAGACAATAGATGGATTAGTAAATATTCTTTATAAGAATTCTACTTTTACTTCTTTGAATCTTATATCAGTTCGACTTGAGACTAAAGGAGTGAAAAAACTAATGGAGGCTCTTTATAAAAATACTGTCCTAAATTCTTTAGGTCTTTATGATAATTGGATTGGTACTGAAGAAGGAAAGATGTTGGCAAAATTTCTTTGTAAAAACACTACGCTGACTTCTTTGAATTTTTGTGGAAACGATGAAGGTTGGTCACATTACGGTAATATTTGGTCAAAAGGAGGAAAAGCATTAGCTGACGCACTTTGTGAGAACAATACCCTGAAAGAGTTAAAACTTCAACATAATAATCTTGAATCAGAAGTAGGAAAAGCATTAGCGGATGCACTTTGCAAGAACACCGCGTTGACTTCTCTGGATCTTGGTTATAATTATCTTGAATCAGAAGGGGAAAAGCGTTAGCCGATGCACTTTGCATGAATACTTCGTTAAAATATTTGAACCTTCAATGCAATAAACTTGGATCAGAAGTAGGAAAAGCATTAGCAGGTTCAATTTGCAAGAATACAGCATTGATTTCTTTGAATCTTGATTATAATTATCTTGGATCGGAGGGAGGAAAAGCATTTGCCAATGCACTTTGCAATAACACTTTTTTAAAAGATTTGACTCTTCAATGTAATAAACTTGGATCAGAAGTAGGTAAAGCATTAGCAAATGCACTTTACAAGAACACCGCGTTAACTTCCTTAAATCTCCATTGGAATGAACTTAGAACAGAAAGTGGAAAAGCTTTAGAAGATGCACTTTGCAAGAATACCACACCAACTTCTTTAAATATTCGATCTAATAATATTTATTTCAAAATAAAATCAAACAATAAAAGTATAGAAATACTACAATAAACATTATAATTTAATAAATAGCTCATCATGTTATAGGGGATCCAAAAAAAGATGAAATGCGCATAATAATGCCCATGAATTGAACGATCGAACAAGACCAAAACATTGAAGATCAAGAAGATTCAGAGTGGTGAAATCAAGAGAATGTTGTGTTGAGAAAAATGAGAAAAAGGCATAGATAGTGAGTCGGTAAAGTCTAAAAATGTGAAAGTCCAAAAATGAATCGGTAGTGGGAAAGTTGTGGGAGGACTAGTAGAGATTTTAAATAGAATAATTAGTAAGTTGAAATGTACAAAAATAGCAACTAAATTGTTAATAAAATACTTCAGTGATTTTAGAGTAATTAACAAGATCGAAAGCTCCAAGATCCCTTAGCACATAAATAATACATAAAGCAAATAAATAAATATATTGTCAAAAAAACAAAAATCACAAAAATACATTCATAAATTTAGACAAAAGTAGATAAAAAGGCTATCTATAAGGTAGTAGCTTTTTATAGTCATCTCAACCGCCGCACTAGATTTTTACTGTACATGACTACTGTTGCTGATGAAATTTTCTTTCTAGAATTGCACAAACTAACATATGTGCAAAAAAAATTAGATAAATTCACAACCTAACCTTTGTGCAAGAAATTTTAGATATAATTCAATTCACATATATGGAATGTCTACATATAATCGATTTTGAGTAAATAATAATTTGCAAATAGAAACATACATAAAATTTTTTGGTTAATTTATTTTATTATTTAATTAGCTTTTGCTACTTATGCCAAACTTTTTTTGTAAAAATCAAATAAAAGATTTTGAAAAATTATCAAAATGGGCTTTTATAATACAAAAGCACTCTATATATATAATGAAAGCCCGATGCTGACAGCCTAAAAATCTAAAAAATCCCGATTACCCTAACAAAGTGGCTTGTTGTATTTGGCGAGCAGATAATTCAAGGCTTTAGTCATCAATACTGCAAGAGTTTTGTGATAATCATGTGAGCAAATTTAACCAAAAAGCGAAGGTTTTACTATGCCACTTAGTAGAAGTTTAAAAAAATATGTTAGAAAGATTTTTATAGTAAGGATTTTTGTTTAATTCAAATTTAAAATTATGTTTTCAAAAAAGCTTAATTTAATAAATTATGGATTTTATAATTTGTCGCCATGCGATGTATCGCTACCCTGCTCAACCAATTAGAATGCAGGATCAGGTGAACATGAAATCACGATTAACGATATTTTTTCTCAAAAATCGGTTATAGCGCGAAATTTTTGCCTATGAAACCATCTCTTGTGCTCAAACAAAAATTTCCTCACAAAATTTTTTGGTTAGAACTCTTCGTTAAAACGCCCTAACTCTAATCCTAAACTAACAATTTAATTTATTATATATTTATTTATTATATAACCTATATAGATAGATAGCTCTCCCTATTTTGTCACGGAAGATTCTCGATTTTGATTGGCTAACGGTCGTTATCTAATTTCCGACTGGAATTAACTTTTAATTTTTTTCATTCCATAAATATAAAATTGGTCAGGAATAATATTCACGGTAGTGATTTCATTAATAATATTTTGAGTAACGCCGGCCTAAATTTTTGATCGCATTCTTAATTAACAGTCCAGTCTGGTTTATTTTGGTCCAGCTCTGGTCTGGTCTATTATGGCCCCAGTTTTAAGACTTTGTTAGTCCGGTCTTAAGACTAGGGAGACCAAATTTTTTCGGTTTCAGACTGGTCTTAAGACTAACTGTGGTTAGTGATGCCTGACGAAACCATGTGATGCTAATCATCACGTGCTATTACAAAAAAAATCAAAATAGTTTATATATTGTGCCATGTGACAATTAGCATCACATGGTTTCGTCAGGCATCACTAACTGTGGTCCGTTGGTCAAAGACCGGATCACATAACATTCCTACTCTTAACCGAGAATTTGCCATGACAAAATTAGTACGGGCAGCTAGGGTTAATGGGAAAAAAGAGAAAGGTTAAACTCAACTGTCACCAGTTACCAACAGTGCGACGTCCTACAGTATTAGGTCATTTGGTATAATACCTTAAACGTCACTTGAAAAAAATGGGACGTAGCTGGGTTATTTTTTCGCATACATGTGACTGATAAAATATGAACCTTTTTGATTTGATTGCAGAAATAAATATGGTCACAATTATCTTTATATACATGTATATTGTATGTTATAAGTGGATTTTGGATCTTGAATCTTTAAAATTGAACAATAAATGTGATTATAATTTTTAACAACATAATAATAAATATAATGTAATACGTTATCACAAATAAAAGCGCTTGTATTATTTCTAGTCACGACGTAGATTCCATCTTGGTAGATATTAGTGATGCAGTATCGTCTCGGCTTAGACTAGCTAAAGCTTATGTCGTAACTAGCTATGACAGTAATTGGGACGATTCTACTACATCACTAATCATTATATTCGATTAGTACAAGCAGCATAAGTTCCCTCACACCAGAGGTAGGAATGAGAACTTCGTTTTTGCATGTCTCATTACGATTTTATTGAAATCATAATTTTTAATAATATGCAAGAGAATATCGATCGATATTTGTTAATTTTTCGCATTTTATTTTCAGTCAGTTTGGTATTTGATAAGTGACTAATTTATTATTTGAGCATCTGGATCTGTTTTTAGCTTCTATAACTCAGTGTCCCTGTATTATTGAGTTGATGAATTACCGCGATAAAAAAAAAAGGCCATAGTCGCTTTGTTTTAAAATATTTTTCCTCTACTGTATAAGCGCGTAATAACGCACATGGGCGTTATTTCAAATTTTCAATTTTTTTAAAAATGGCATATTTGACTCAAAATAACGCCCATGCGCGTTTCAAAATAACGCGCCCCATATGTACCAGATTATCTTTCACGTGCTATTTTGAATCTTCAAATAAAATAAGCTTAGGTTCAACCAAACCTATTTACTATCATAATAAATATGATTAATAATATATCTGGAATTTATTCGTCTTTATCTCAAAAAAAAAAAACAAGTTCTATTATGATGTCTCATGAATGTTCCAAAATTAGCATAATGATTCGAATTATCGCGTATGCGCGTCCTGAAATAACGCGCCCCTGCGCGTTATTACGCGCTTATACGGTAACGTTTATTAATATTAACTAAAAAGTATTCGAAATAAAATAATTCATTTTAAAATAAAAGATTTCTTCATTATATATTTTCAACATAATAATTCGATCACTTTAAATGGCGTAACCACTTACTGCTGTTTTCATAAACTCTGGGACATCTAAAATTTGTTCGTTTTTTGACCTCGTTTTAAGAATCATCTATCTTTTCGGAAACTACTTCGCTTCCTTTGAACTTCGATACAATGACAGCGACGTAGTTTGTGATTCTTAGGACGGGATCGAAAAGATTTCGGGAAACAACCAAATTTTTAGGTGACCCAGAATTTATGAAAACAGCAGTAAGATTTTTAAGAACCGAATTCAACTTAAATGGATTTCAACTTAAGTGGATTCGGAATCTACAGATATTCTATATCCACTTACAACACATATAATCGATTAAAGTATTTATACACCAAATAACTAAATTAATGTAAATAAAATAGTGGCATTTAGGCATTACTGTAATCATGAATTTAGAGTTATTTTAAATACAGTTAAATAATAAAATCATTTAAATATTCGTGAACTTGAATTTTAAAGGCATTGATTAAAGAGATCTTTATACTTAATTAACACGAAAAAAAAAAAAAAATAGATGAGTAGCATTTAAAAGATCATCAGCTAAATAAAATTAGATATGTGAGTATTGTTTAATAAATGTTCGAAAACTTGAATCGCATATTGATTAGAAAAAGTTCTTTATACTTACCAGTCAAATTAACGAATAAATATCCATTTTACAGGATAGCCAATAAATACAGCATTCATATAGCGCGACAAAAAATCTACTTAGGGCGTTCTCAAGCATCCATCTCAATGGACTCAATAACGAATCTGATTGGTCTGTTTGATCAAACTAGCCAATCAGATTTTTTATTGAATTCATTGAGGTAGGTGCTTGAGAACGCCCTTAATTAATAATTTACACAACTAATTTTTTTTATTGGTGATAATAAAGATAAGTTGTGTACGTAAATGCTTGTGTTGGTAGGCTATTCCAAATTTTTTCTAACCGTGTGATATGACAACTAATAAATAACGAAGATAATGAATGTGTATATTAATTTAAAAAGACGCCATTGTGTTGTTTACATTCATTTTCAAAACAGTCAATTATGTAGAACTGATTCTATCTACGTCAAATACAGTAGTTTACAATTCTTCTAATTAAACACGTATATATGTTACGCGCCATTTTCAATTTACATAATAGGTTTTTTACAAATAATTGAAAATACCCAGTATACACGTATATTTTCATTCAATTTTATCAGTCTTCAATGTTTACACCAACTGGGTGTTTTTTTTTTTGAGAAATAAATATGAATTGCCTCTGAGTACAAATAATACATATGGTTTTCTCAAGCACCTACCTCAATGAATTCAATAAAAAATCTGATTGGCTAGTTTGATCAAACAGACCAATCAGATTCGTTATTGAGTCCATTGAGGTAGTGCTTGAGAACGCAACACTTTACGGTATGTCATTTTAAAATTTTCACCTCTTGAAAAAATGGCGTGGGCGATTCTTAATGCAGACAATGGTAACATGCCATTGATAATACTATGTAATTCATATTAATAAATTTAAGTAGTTCTTTCGGTTTCATTTTTAAATTATATTTGAATCGATCTTTTTTATATTATTCATTATATTTGAATCGGCCTTTTTTTTATTCATTACTAGATGTTAGACCTATTATTAGAACTAATATTGTGACGGGTTAAATTTAAACTTTTTTTTTTTACTATATAATCAATTATAATGGATATTTTGCAGATTTTTCCAATGTTTCATGGAATAGAAATGAACAATCTACGTTTCATTTACATAATAAGATGTAGAAAGTAGACCAGCAGTGCGTGAATGAGAACAATTTTAGCTGATCATCGGGTGTAACGTGAACATCAAATATCAAACAACTATTTATAGTTATTATCAAATAATCATTCTAACGTTGGTGTTAAATAATTATTATTCTAATATATAGCTATTTATAATTATATAGTGTTAAATAATTATTATAACAGCTATTTATGGTTGGCGTTAAATAATTATTCCAACAGCTCTTTACAGCTTTAGGATTAGAATTTAACGTTTGGATTAGAATGGTTGTATAACATATTAAAATTTTCGCTTTGTTAAAACATAAAAGACAGTTTATAACAAATTGTTGTCCTACTATACACAGGTTGAATCAATGAATATCGGGTGCATACCGGGAGAAAGGTTTCCGTTAGTCTGCCATAAATCTGCCAAATACCTGCTGAATACCAGCAGCATATTGGTAAGATATCGAGAGGTAGATCGATATCAGCAACATAACAGCAAAATATTGGGATACACCGATATCTTACTTTTAGGCCCAGAGTGCTAAGAGTAAGATATCAGGGTATCCCAATATTGTGCTATTATGTTACCGATATCGATCTACCTCCTGGTATCTTACAAATGTGCTGCCAATACAGCAAAGTGCTGCTGATATTCAGCGGATCTATGGCAGACTAACGGGTACATATCGGGAAAATTGTCATTGATTCAACCTGTGATACTTAATGTAATATCTTACTACATACTATATATATATAATACTGTCGTCCTCCTCTATAATCACGCAGTCCGTATCATGCAAATTGTGTGATTGTATAAAGGTTTTTACTATGATGTGCTTATAAAGAAGTATTTTTTTATAGGTTTATTAGTAAAGTGTTGCAGGCCTTAGCGTGATTATAAAAAGGGTTTACTATGATATGATTATATAGGAGGTGGCTATATGAGAGGAAGACAGTATAAGAGTCGAAGAAAAGTCCATGAAGGTAATAAAGATTAGCTCAAAGGCTGCTGTTTTTATAATTTTATGAATTATAAATTAAGCTTATGTCTGTTTGCATACGTACAAATATGGTTTAGTATTATTGTCATTTATTTTGTCATTTTAATGTCATTTATAAAAACATATTTTTTATGACTTGTCATTTCGCCATGGTTTTGTATAAAAGTTTTTTATAATAAATGACATTGCTATTTTAAAATTTATATTCATTTTGTAAAAATTTTTATGACTTTGACATTTACCATCACTGGTAATTATACCGTATTAAGATCCTTTACAGTTTTGGCAGAAAAAACTGATTTTTTAGTTGCCGTTATTTGCTTTTACCCGCATAGTCGCGAAATAACGCGCAGAAATGTAAGATATTTATCTTATAATAAATTTGTGCAAAAAATTCAAGTATTTAATAAATGTTAAATTTTCATAACTTTTTGACTATGTTTATGGATATTCTACATAAGAATAATATAATTTAATGTAATAAAAAAATTTTCATTATGTATTTAATAAAGAACGATTTTAAATCCCGACAGTATATAATAATCTCGACATCCAAATCCCGATAAAGATAAAATCCCGAATAGTCAAAATTTTGATCTTGATAGTCGACTATTCGGAATTTTTGAATGTCAAAAATTATATACTGTCGGGATTTTGAGGTAGAGCCGATTTTGAACTCACCCGAGAAGAAATTTACCAAGTATACCGGGTTGGTGAAAAGTAACTGAACAGTGGCCTTTTTTAATCACTATGATTATCATTTTAACGTTGCAATAAATTATAATGATTACTAAACGTTAAAATGATAATCATAGTGATAGGGTTGTAAAATTACTGTAATTTTACGTAAGTTTACAGTAACATAGTTTTCATGTAATTTTTCTGAGATCAAAATTTTCGGTGGTTGAGGAGTTACAAATTAAATAAATCAAATAATGCAATAATGCTGGTTGAACTTTTGTAAAGCTGGTACATTATAACGTGATATGTAAGTTACATGAAATTTTATTTACTGGAAATTACGTAAAACTACATGTATTGTAAGATTGTAAAATGTAATTTTCAACCCTACATAGTGATTAAAAAAAGGACACTGCTCAGTTACTTTTCACCAACCTGGTACTATTTCTCAACACGGCTTTAGTAATTAATGTTTGAAGTATCGTACTAAGTCAAAATATTTAGCACTCTAAAAAACTTAACCAACTTTTTTAACTTTAAAATTTAATGCGTATAAAAATCCAATAAAACAGAATAAGTGAATTCACATCCAGTGATTTCTAAATTAATCCTGGTTTTTTTTGTCGTTAAAAGCAACTAAAATACCGGTTTTTTTGCTAAAACCCTATATTGCAGCGCTTTACTAATATAAACAAATATATATTTCTATATATAAATGTCAAATTGTATGTTTTATAATAGCTCAAGTTAATATCAAGAGTGACAATAACGAGGTCTGACTGTACATAAATTAAATACAAAGAAAATTTAATTTTACCTAAGCTAAACTTTGTACGTATTACAAAAAAAAAAAAAAATTCTTTGCAAATTTCTATTCGAATAATTGATTCACTCATTTAATAGAAGCATGAATAAAGCGGATATAGTTTATGCATCATAATTTAGGCCGTTATTAGAGGTACGTACCGGTACAGTCAGATAAAATAACGACATCATCGGCGTAACACAGATTTTGAACGTGCACATATAAATGTAATAATTACGTACTACGTATTTACAAGTTATTCCGTTTTTTTTTTTTTTTTTTAATTGTTGATCATCTCTTTCCGGTTCATCCAAAAATTAAAACATGGACGATATTGATGATGTAGAGGTAGAGGTAGTTAGTACAAGAAAGCCTGAACAACCGACTGGTAAATGTTTGAGCGAAGAATTGTAAAAATTAAAGAGATATCTAACTTCAATTCACACTAATTTTTATAATCAAATTATTTAATAAAAGAATTATCAAAAACATCTTCAGCTCTCGCACCATCAGCAAAATTCGATCGTCTTGATAATATTATCAAAGTTCTATTAAGTCATGTTTATTTTGGAGTGACGAAAGAAAAATGTATGATGGCAAAAACTTTTACAGATATGGGACTTTTATTTAGACCAGCTTCTCGTCAAGTTTCCATCTGCTTTCGTAGAATGAGAGATGAAGTTGTAATTCCATTCGGTGAAGTAATTAAGTGTGAACTTGTTAGCGAAAGGGAATTAGTAGTAAAATTAAGATCAGATTTTACTAGAGCGGTAATGTAATTTTTAATTTCTTTATATAAATATAACAAAAATTAACTCTATTTTGAATTTTTTTTTTTTTTTTTTTTTTTTTTTTTTTTAGTATTATTCTCATCCTGACGGATTTCCATATAAAAAAGAACCCGTTCTATTAAATAATGATCCAACTAATGCAACTAATGGGTATTTTTCAGGTGTTAATCAATTACTTATAAGATCATACCACGCAACAGATTTCGATTTTCTTTCAGAACATGGGTTTAAAATAAAAAGTGAAAATCTTCACAAGAAAAAAACAAATGAATTTGTTGAAAATCCAATCGTAAATACGAAATACGATTTAATTATTTTTTAAAAAAAAATTTTTTTATATATATAAAATAAATTTATTCTAACTTTAAAAAAAAACCGTATATATATTTTTTATTCATGTAGGCATCAACATCATCATCCAACGGTATTCAAATGTTACGACAATCAGTTGATAATTCGATAAAGATTTCACCTCAACAACCTCAACAAGAAACTTCACCCAAACTTGTGATTGAAAATTATGTCGCAGTTACTCAAAAAATAGTTAGCAAAACTAAGACAGTTACCAAAAGTTTTAGAGGTTCTAATGATCAACAAAACAGGCTTAATTCTACTTCACAACGATCACAACCATTACAACCATTACAACGATCACAACCATTACAATATTCACAACGATCCTCATCATTTTCAACAACCTTTAATTCCGCACAAAATACATCTCATCCTAAACTTTCAACAATGATACCTTCAACTAATTCCGATTCATCATCATTAAATTCGAGCAATAATAATAATAAAAATAATAATCGTAATAATAATTCTTCAGCACAATCTTCAAAGTTCTCGAGAAATATCTCATCAACATTTCAACCATCAACGCCTCAAAATGAGTCTAATTTGCAAAATTCAATTCAATCAAAAAAAACTGAGGTAAAATTAGATTCATTTAACATGTTAACATTTTTTTTTTAAAAAAATAACATTGTCTAACTATATTTTAATTATATTCTAATTATATTCAAATAATATTTAAATGGTTTATTTTTTAACAGCTTTATCTCACATGCACTTTCGCAAGTGAAAAACGAGCATTTATTTATCCCCCGGATGGAACATTGTATCACCTTCATTTTGCTATTCGTCAAAGATTTAAGAAACATCAATGGAATAACACTTGGTTCAAAACTAATAAATCTAATGAAGATGGTTCTTGGTACCCATTGGAAAGTGAAGATGATTGGAAGAGTGCAAAATTGTCAAGAAAGATTATAGGCGGATATATTAGAATTGAAATATATTTTAAATAAAAAAAATTAAAAAAAATATTATTAATAATAAACTAGCGGATACATATGTGCGCATATAATTGATAATGAGGGGGTGTTCGTGTAATGTTATTCTCTGTTTCGCATTTACATTAAGTTTATTCTCGATCAATGCATAATAACCCTTGTTCGAAGAAAGACTACTGAACTATGATATCAATGCATGTAATAGACAATTTACGTAAAGTATTCACTAGTTCATTATTTCTCTAGATGCTCTTATATGTTTGTTTTTTTTTCGAGTTACCTGATGGGAACAATTTTATAATGAAATGGCTGTGCATACGTATATATATGCACAAGGTTACACGACTACGAGTCAAACCGATGATCGAGATCGTGTATACATGGGCGATTGTTTTCATAAATTCATAACCATTAACAGCATTAGCATAAATCTATAATTAACAAAAAGAACATCTGAAGTCTTTGAATTATTGAATATAAACGACAACGATTGTATGCTATACCAAAGTTTATTATTATCAAAATAAATTTCCTTTTTTTTCGAATCACAGGACAAACGTACGTACGTACTAATTTGCACCGCCACAGATTTCTTGTTTATTCCATAAAGGTTTATGATCATAGACCCATTGTATCACTAATATGGTAACGTCTATGAAACCATCGTTTGAAATCAAACCGTTATAAAGGTACGTACGTACGTACGTATGTACATACGTAGGCTTTCAAAGGCTATTGCTACCCAAAGGAATTCACGAACTGACTTTACAAGCTGATCTATTTTAATCTTTTGAAAATATTACATAACGATAAAGTTCAATTATCGTTACTGTGATCTAGTTTAATCAAATTTATTACTAACCAAAAAAAAAAAGATACACAATATATGATTTATGTGATAATCATATATGGTACCGTTAAACAGAAATCAAAATTTTTTTCTAAAGCTAATTATTTTTTTTACATTGAAGTGAGAAACTTCTTAATATATATATTTTTTTTCATAAAAATTTATTAATGCAATTAACGAAAATTAGCGTAACATAATTCATTAAAAAAATATATATATAAAAATATATAAATACGAAATAAAACAGGTTCATAAATTGATTTTCATTACAGAGGCTTAGTACGTAAATGTCATCTCGCCGATATGTTTTAATGTTTTTTCGTCTTCAAAAATTATATACATCTTGAAATTTTCCTATATTAGGAAAAGGATAGAAATAACTAGATGTTCAATTAATTTTTTTCCAAAAGTTTCCATAGCGTCATAATGGAATGAAAAACAATTCGATTCTTTTCTAAAGAAATTGCCAAGTGTCCCCTTCCCAAAACAGAATGACTATCGCTATCGTTATATATGACATTACATTAGATGCAGAAATCGTAGAATAGCAGATAATTTATCATAATTCTACAATAACTCTACAATTTGTTTAAAAAAAAAAAAAATCTGCCAAGGTTTTTCCGATCATCTTTTTTAATATTAATCGCGAAATGCTTCTTTATTACGAATATTTTTTGATTCGGAATGGCTCAGTTCCGATAAAAAGAAAGTCGTGCCATAAAAAAAGAATTATGTTCGAAAAAGAAAGCATCAGCCACGTATAATAAATTTTTTTTTTTTTTTTTTTTGTAACCGGTAAACCCTAAAAAAATCCATACACCTGAACTTTTCAACATTTCTCGTATAGCACAGCCACGAAGATTGATAAAAGGAAACATCATTCTGGTCTAATATTTTCCCGTTTACAAATTTTTATAAAGTTAAAAAAAGTTGATTGTTTTTAACAACATCCATTATTGTTTATTTTTATTTTTTTGAATGTTTTTACGTATAATTCTCTTGTTCCTTTCTTCTGTCTCTTAATTCTTCCCAGATTTTTTGAATAATTTCTGGACGATGTCAGTTGTTGGCAGTTGCTACAGCAATTATTATTATGCAAAGCCTCCTAACGTAAGAGTTTGATAAATATTTACTTATTCATTACTTTTGGATTAATTGATCGAAGACTTTGATTCTTCAATTCATAAATAAATAAATCATCTTGTAAACAAAAATAAATCTATTTGTGAATAACGATAACATTAAAAAAATGTTTGTCATACTATACAGTACTAGTAACGTGACTTAGAAACTAATCTCGTCTTTTTTTTTTATTTTTGATTAGTATTGTATAGAAAGTCCAAGTAAATCTTACGAACATTATGAATCACATTATGAGGATAATAATTATGATAAATACGATAAAAGGGATGCGGATCCTTTTGCAGAGGAAATGCGTCGTTCAGGTTTAATTCAATTTCGCAAAAGGGATTCTGACCCTTTCCACAAAAGGGATGCTGATTCTTTTAACAAAAGGGATGTCGATTCTTCACGCAAAAGGGACGCTGATTCTTTACGCAAAAGGGATGCTAATTCTTTTCATAAAAGGGATGGTGATAATCAAAATAAAAGGGATGGTGATTCTCAAAAAAGGGATGCTGATTCTTCTCGCAAAAGAGATGCTGATTCTTCTCTAAAGAAAAGAGGTCTCTTCAAACGTGATACTACATCAGATAATTCAACACAGACAACTACAGGTTCCACGAGCACACAACCAACACCAACACCAACAGTATTAACTTTAGAGGAGCAGTTATTGCAAATCTCACAAATTATCGTCAATCCACCTGAAGTGGAACTTGGTCCAGATGGGTGGCCAGATAAAAGTATTTATGATCCAGCAAATGATTCATTATATTGGTGGCGTAATGATCCTGTATTAAATCAGCATCATGAGCATTGGCATATAGTGATGATCTCCGCTATTATTAATGAATCAAGAAAAGATAGAGAAGGTGAAAATTTTATATATATGCATAGACATATGTTGGCAAGGTACGTACGTAAGTGTAATTATGAAACACGTGAACTTTATTATTCACGTGATTTTATACATTCCAATAGATATGATGCTGAACGTCTTGGTGTCGGCTTTGATATAGTGGATCCTTTAGTAGATTATTACACTCCAATACCTGAGGCCTTTTATCCTCCACCATATTTGGTGGAAGATTTTGGTGGCAAAAAAGTTCCTTTTCCGGCTCGTCCAGCAAACCAAACTTTTCGTGATATTGGTAATACTGAAATTTCTATTTCTTATTCTTTTCAACAATAACAATAATGATGGTAATTAACTTTTTTTAAATATAAATATATATATATATATAGTTGAAGTTAATAATGGTCAAGTAACGGTATATTCTGTCGCATGGTTGACGCATACATTCGACGAACTTGAGAAATGGATTGATGGATATACTGATAGCGAACATCCAGTTTCTCTAGAATTGAAAGATGAGGATGCAACAAAATTGGGTAGTGAAATCGAACTTATATTACATAACATTGGGCATTCTATGCTCGGTTATATGATGCATCCATATTCTATTGGTTGTAAGTTAAAATTTCATTTTCTGAAAAATTACAAAAAAATTTATTCTAATAACGAATAACTTTATTACCAAAAACAATTTATAACCAACAATCTTTTATTATTCATATTTTTTTTTTTTTGTAGACGCACCAAGTGTGCTTGTTGGTGCGCGAGCCGGAACACGTGACCCATTATTTTGGAGATGGCACCGTCACATAGACAACATTTACAAAAAATGGCAAGATGCTTTGGGTCCTTCAGATTTTCATCACGATGCTCCTAACGTTACCATTAGACCACATGATATATACTTTGCGTTTACAGATGTACTGCTTGAGGCCTACCCTGAAGGTCGAAAAGATAATTGGCAAAGTTTTGCTAATAAAATTTTTGGTGGTGATAATTTTGATCGTGATTTATCAAACAGTACGTTTATAACTAATGAATTACACACCAAGATGAAAAATAGAATACTTGTTTGGAGAGAAGATAATTATGATAAAGAAAATATAACTTATCTTTATCCAAGAGATTGGCAATACTTTATTCGCGTAAGGAATGACAAAAACGAAGTAATATCATTTTATTCTCTTAATTTATTTAATTTTTTTTTTTTGTTTGCATAATTATTAAGTACTAATTCTAAACATTTACTAAAAAACATTTATAGACTATAGCAGTTACATTCCGTATTTTCATTGTCCCAGAAGAACTTGCCGATTCTAGAGTTCATTGGATCGAACTTGATAAATTTAAAAGATTTTTAAAACCTTATGAAAAAACCGTAATAGTACGTGAATGTGATAAAGCCATCGATATTAGGAAACCTGCTCAAAAAACTGAAGCACAAATGGATTCAACACAAATAACAAATGAAACAAAATTAATCACTGCAGGTCATGACGAGGGAGAAATTGCTGAACTTTTATTTTGTGATTGTGGTTGGCCTTATAATTTAATTATACCGAGAGGAAAAAAAGAAGGATTAAATTTTAAACTTATCGTTTTTATTACTGATGGTACTGATGATTTAGTTCCTACTTATGATGAGTGTGGAAGTACTTTACTTTGTGGTGCTCATTATTGGAAGGATAAAATTCCGGATATTAGACCTTTAGGATATCCATTTGATAGACCGTTTAAAAATAATTCTTATAAACTAACTTTTGAGGGATTAAGTAATGCAGCTATTAGAGATTTTACTATTGTATGGACTGACACTGATTTTCGAGAAGTCTAGAATTTATTATTATTATTTTTTATATTTTTAGAAAAAAAAATTATTACATCCCGAAAATTATTTAGTTGGAGAGGATTCAATCATTTATTATAATTGAACCTTTCCTCTTCCTCATTACTTTTTTTCATTTCATCTATCCCTTTTTTTTTTTTGTATAAAGTAAACGCATTTCATTTCATTTTTCATCATTTTTTATCGATATTTTTTTGGCAGGGCTCATTAACCCTTTTTGTATTTTTTTTTTTATGCGGTACAGTCTTTTCTTTTTTTCGAAAAACTTGATGCAAGATTTGGAACTTTCTTTTTTTTTCTTTTTTTTCGAAGGGAGCAAAGGAAAAATAAAAAAGGATAGATTCAAGTTTTCTGCTCGTTTTTCGTGAAAAAAATTTTTCGTGGGCAAAAAATATATATATACTGTATATTGTATATGTATTTACAATTGGGCAAAAAAGAATTTTGAATTTTTAAGTGTTTACGTAAAAGTGATCAATCACTTAAAATGTTCAAAGATGTTATGAGTCTATTTCACCTAATGAAATCTTTTGCTAATTCAAGTAACCCAAGTTATTTTATGTTTTATATATACGTTGAAACAAAACCAGTATGTGATATATGTTAATGTAGTCCCAAAATCAAGTTGACTTATAGTCTACTATATATAACCTATTGCGTAGATTATGAACTTTGGTCATACGTATAAAAGTTAGGTTCGGCCTAAAATTGCCAACTTTAAATAGACTTTGGTTAGCGGTATTGGAGGGCCTACTATACTTTTCTGAAATAGTAATATGAAAGACTTTATTTATTTTCTTTGAATGTCTACGTACATAGTACGTACGTACGTATATAATTATTATGAAAACATAGTATAGTCGGTCAAAGGTGTATTATATGAATTAGTCATTTTGTCATTTAGTTTATTTAGGGCGTTCTCAAGCGCCCACCTCAATGAATTCAATAAAAATCTGATTGGCTAGTTTGATTAAACTGACCAATCAGATTCGTTATTGAGTCCATTGAGGTACGTACGTAGATGCTTGAGAACACCCTAAGGATGTTCTCAAGCACCTACCTCAATGGACTCAATAACGAATCTGATTGATCAGTTTAATCAAACTAGCCAATCAGATTTTTTATTGAATTCATTGAGGTGGGCGCTTGAGAACGCCCTAATATATAGCAAACAACCAAAATAAGTGATGACTACGTAGAAAAAAAAAAGACATTAATTTAGTTAGCATACTCGCAATAACCAAATTAAAAAATGATTTATGTAAAATAGTGCATTCATTATTCCGATACTGCACTTTAGATACATTTTTACTTCATTAATAACACCTATATACAGTCTTCCCCCTCTATAATCACACCTTCGGGATACAAAAAACCGTGATTATAAGGAGATGTGACTAATATAAAAGTTACCTCTATATAGTCACAATTATAGTACGAAATATGAAACGTGACTATATAGATAAAATTTTTAAGAAATACTCATTAGAGTTTTATTAAATTTAAATTTATTAGTTTATTTTGCATTAAATGCAATTAACTTCCATTAATATCAACCTATTTTAATCCATTAATATATACAGAGTTGATACTAGTATACATGGGCGTCTAAATTATTTTGTCTATATTGTAAATTTAAACGGCTAAATTATTTTAGATAGCCTAAATCGAAATTAATTTAGGGTGTCTAAAATATTTTAGGGTTTTAAAATATTTTAGAATGGCTAAAATATTTAGAATGTCTAATATATTTTGTTATTCCAAAATATTTAATAATACTAGTTGACTAGAGTCAACTGATTAAAAAACAGGCCATGTATAGTTATACACAGCAATCAATAATCATGCTGGCCCCAATCAGTGCACACAAATCAGCTTTGCCACACAATACCCAGGGTTACACACATAAAATTTCAAGCATCTCACACATGATTAGCAGCCACAGAACTATGCACAATCATGTGTTAGATAAGTCAACACCCATTTTTATATAAATACCAAAACATCACAAAACAACAACTCTTATCCAGAACAATATAGCCTAGTTAAATTACTAAATCTATTTTTTTTAAGAAACAAAAAGGTTTTTACCAATATAAGTACAAATAATATCACTAATACTAATACTTTCCAAGTCTTTGGTGAATTAGTTAATCTCATCACACCAACAACTGTTGATCTCTTCCAAATTGATTATAACACAAAAATATATATCAATGCAGCTTGCCAGACCTTGGCTAATACAATTATTGCATTCATCAGAACATATCTTGGCTAACACACAGCAACCCAAACTGATATAATTAACAGATTAAATTAATACATCAACCAATACTTTAACCAAATTTAGCAACACTTCAACACCTAACAAAACAACCCTTCCACAATTAAACTACCTCACAGATTCAAACTACTACACACTAACAACAACCTCTCATACACCAGCAAGGAACCTTATTAGTTTCAATATACAATTATGAGTTCAACATGTTCACAACCCAACAGCAGGCTAAACAAACAAATCTAGACTTTATCTTTTAGCAAGGTAACTGCCCACTAACCCCACTCCTTAACAACCTTATTATCAACTCCTTATCTACACAGCTCAGCACAGATACACTAAACCAATTGATTAATTCCTGGGCATTTAGTATATTGCAAACAATAGCAATTATACAAAAATTTTCTTTGTTCAAGTACAGCAATACTAACTTTTTTCAGTTTCTAGCTTCACCAATTCTCAAACCACCAATACAGAAAGAATCAGACTATAGTAGATTCTCAACTAGTTCAATGAACAAAAAGTATTAGAAATGCTGGATGTTCTATAGAATAGGTAGGCAATATAAAAAATAAACTCTGCCAATAATTAATAATCATTGATAGATATTTAGTGGAGTTATGGAGTTTGCGGAGTTTGCCCACCTATTCTATAGAATATCTGAAATGCTACCAAACAAACCAAACTTATCTCTATGACTATAGAAGGCTATTGCAATTAGAAATTGCATTAACCTTGTCAAGTTTGGTTACAAAAACTTAAAAACAAACATAAAATATAACAAAGAAGAACAAATTTTACAAATCACCGAAGGCATGTCATTGCTATTAGAAAACGCATCTAGTCTCTTAAATTTAATGACATTACAGAGTAGCTTCTGGCCTTTAGAATCTATAGAAAAGCCATCCTAATCATTTATACTAACAGAGAACAAGAGCTAAATATTTACTGCAACTATATTAATATCTTATGTATCAAGTATGAATTATAAACCATAGCAGTCTACAATAAAACTGCTGTCTCTACCTTATAGCAAACTGGAACTTAACACTATTTGACCATGACATTAAAGCTGAAGACAAAAATCTTGATACTACTATAGCCAAAAAATAGTGAGACAACATTATTCTGCATAGTTTAAAATCTGATATTACTTGGCATAATAGCAGACAAATATATATAAACTGGAATCACAAAGGCTGTTCTGAAAAAAACAACTGCATGTTTGTTTAACATGTAGAAAATAGAATATCCAGAATACTGCTGCTACTACAACAAACCCTTTCTTCCTAAACAATCTGATTTTCAAAACTAGGATTTAAATAAATAATTATTTAAAAAATATATACAGTATATATAAATAATAATAATAATAATAAGATGTGGTAATATAACAAAGTGATAGAATTGTCACCTCCCAAGTAGCAGGTTTAGAGGTTAAATCCCAAGAATAACAATATTGAATAATAGATCTGTGTTTAGTAACATTGTTTATTAATCAGTTGTTTAATACACTATCTAGAATGGGAGCTTTAGTATACAAAATCTAGATAATTAGGATAATTAATACCCATTTGAAAAACTCAAGTAAGAAGATAGCTGAAACTTTCAACACTGCTACAGAAAAGACTGAATTTAGAAGTTAGAACTAAGACCAATAAACTAAGTGACAAAAGATTCTTAAGTGGGAGATCTACCAACCAAACTGCCAATTTGGAAACCTAAAAATTGACAAAAGTATATGATGCATACCAATAGGGTCACCAGCTTGGAAAACTAGTAGCAGGAAGGCCTTACCTCTAGTGGATTTGTAAATTAGAAGGTTTGGGCCAATAGACACAAGCCAAAAATATACTAGATGACTGGAATTTTAAATCAAAAAAGTATATACCAAGATGAGATAGGTCAAAGATATCTAGAGCTAGGTTAGGGTTGAATTTTTTAGGTTGTTAATTGGAAATAAAAGATGAACTAGTTAGAAAATTACAGAAAAAGAAAAGTTTGAATATAGGTATTAGAGTAAAAAGTAAATTTTATAAAGGTATAATAGTAATCAAACTATACTGCGAGTAGAATCTTCAGAGACTATGTGAGACTAGGCTACTAAAATGAGATATAGAAAGCTCTAGTAGGTTTATTTTAAGGATACTTGTGTGTTTGCTTAATAGAGGAATACAAGCTGGTAATTAGTTGGTGCAAACCCAGAATAAGGCACAAGTATCCTAAAGCAAGACTTCAAAAATCCAAGTGTGGCTGGCAAATATTAGTACCAGAAGACTACTAGAATCATATTATAAATAGTTAAGATCAAAAGGTTTAAATAGATAGTTCTAGTTTGGGCAGCAAGTATAGGCATCTAGTGTAAATAGCACCAAAAGTGCAGTGGCTAATTATATCTTTGTTGTAACTATATTAGTACTTTCTATTAATAAAAACAGTATTAGGCCAAAGAGATCATCTTAATACCAAAAATAATAATAATAATAATAATAGAAATTTACTATTGCTATGTTTATTAGTGTGTTAAATTCCTTTTGATGGTTAGGTTGAGTACTTTTGTTTCTGAAGAATGATTTGAAGAACACTATATCCAAGTATTTTAACTTATTGGCTATTGCTTTTGGTATGTTAATGAATAATGTTATTGTCTGGACCTTATATTCAATGAATTAATTGAATAATGTTTTATTCTTTAAGATTTGAAGTATTTTTGCCATTATCCTAAAAACTATAGTTGAATGTTTGTGTTTTTTTTTTTTTTAGTATGTTGACTATCTCAGTAATTCAAAGATTGTCAAGATTTTTTAGATTGCTTTGTTTTGTTTATAATGTAACTTGACTATAAGATGGTTTATTACTATATCTCCACTTGTTTAATTGTTTATAAGTAATGTTAGAATCATGTGGATCAGGACTTTCTTGAATAACTGGGTTTGTAGTTATCTATGAAATTTCGAGCATTATTGTATTAATTACATTGGGAAGTGCTATGAGAATTTCAGATTAGTGATCTTCCGAAACTGTTTGTTGTGATAGTGGCATCAGAGTATTTGTTATGGTAGGTGTTACACTTTGGTCTACTTTCATAGATGTGGTCTCTGAAACTTCATTTACACTTGATGTAGGTTGGGTTGGGTTTGATACTTGTGACATGATGTATATAGCTATTACTTGTTTATGATAGTTTTTAACTAGTTGAGCTGGTTGTTAAGTGGAAGGTGTATATCCCATGTTGTTGTTTTTGGTTTTTTTTGTTAGGTGGCTGTTTGTCGCTAGTTTGGTGTATTAAAACACCTTTTAGAGTTGCTGACTGATTTGAGGACAAAGTCTGGTAGTTTTTTTTGTTGATAACTATGGTGGTGGTATGTTCTGCTTTATTTAGTGACAGTGTGTTACTTTACTTTTGCTAACTTAATAATATTTGACTAAAATCTTGTTTTTCTTGTTTGTTTACTTATAGATTTTTAGAGGTTCAAGAAAGAGTTTCCTAAATTTAAGTTTGTATTAGCTATCTTATTTTTATAACTTTTATTAAAAATTTTATATATTTATCTAAGAAAAAAAAAATTTTAAAAGTATAAATATCTTATAAGATAGCTAAAAACTACTATATAAAATTAGATTAAACTAATAGTTGTAGATAAAAAATAATTTTTATAAAATTTAAAAAAGAATTTAAAGCTATTATTTTTTTGTTACAAGTTGTCCAAGAGTTAGATTATACTACAAAAATATTAAATATAGTAGTTAATTTTAAAAATTAGCAGATAATCTAATTTAATTACGTACTAAATCTAGTACAATATACTAAATCTAGTACAGGTAAATCCAATCTATTAAATTAAAATTTATATTATGTAATAATATATACTTAGTATACTGTACTTAATTAATCAAATATATATAAAATATATATATAAAACTATATACTTACATGATGTGTATAAATATATATAGTGCTCGGCATAATCAAATACTTGTGACTAAATCAAACATTAAACAATCTCAAAACTGAATATATAGTTGGTCAATTTGTGATTACTTGATATCTAACTTAATTACAAGTATTTGACTATTAAATTTTTGTTTAATTTTGTTAAACACTAAATACACATAGTGTACAAATAGAAATCATTTAATGAAAATTAGGCTAGATAAAAATCTGAAGTTTTTTTTTAAAAAAAAATAATAAATAGAGTGCTATAAGATAAATTTTTTTAATATAAAAATATTAATTTTTAATTATTTGTCTATCTTATGCTTTATATTTATCAATTATATAATAAGTTTCTTCAAGTATCAATTTTCTAATAAGATCGAATTTAAAAGCAACTCTTTCTGACAATCACTTGAACTACATTTTTTGAAAAAATATTTTACTGCAAGAAAAGACCTTACAAGCCAGCACTTGATATACTAGATAAAAAGACAGTATCTGTCATTTAGAAGTAGTTCTCATATGCTACTTGCTGACAGGCTCAGAGTTTATCACTCACTGCATAGTCTCAGCACTTGCTATTTAGAAGTAGTTCTTATATGCTATCTGCTGACAAGCCCAGAGTTTATCACTTAGGGGCATGCCATTTATTATATAATAAAATCTTACTAATAATAGCCTACACTATCCATCTATGGTGTGATCTCAATGCTGATTGGCTAGATTATATATATAATATATATATATTTCGGCAGTCATGCTTTAACTTTATTAAGCTTTGTACGAGTCTTCTAGACTGGTAAAATTTTACACTAAGTTGTATTTAAAAAGGTAAATAATAAACTCTTAACTTGTTGGCAGATAGCGTATGAGAACTATCTCTAAATAACAAGTGCTGTAGTATTAAACCTAATGTTACCTAAATTACAAGTTAAAACTAACCTTGTTACCTCAATTGATACTTATATTCGACCTGCTATAGCAAGATTTTCTTTCTTTTGAACCTCTCCTGCACTTGGATATGACCCGGCTCTCAACAGTGGACCTTGCCACCTGTTATGACCACTTCTCCCTTCTTTCAAACTTCTTCCACCTAAGCCCGACAACAAAATTAAAACCCTTATTCATACATAAAAGTGAAAAAAATAATGCTATGTTTATGAGAGATATAAACATTTTAGAAAAAAAACACCTTATAGTGGGAAAAAAAAACTTTTTAACAAATTCTAAAATAGTCTAATATAAATAAACCAAGATGAAAAAAGCGAAAAAAAGAAAGATAGCCATGACACACTATTATAGCCCGTACTAGGCATAAGGATAAAATTATATAATAATTGCAACTAATTAATATATCTCGATTGTAAAACGTCGCCTTATCATAAAGGACTCGTTCCGGGCACCAACAAAACTCGGGTATCTCCTAAATGGGGGTACCGATCTCTTTCCCATACTGTAGCACCGTATTGATAAACAAAACAAACACATGGTTGCATTCTACTGAGTATAACCAAATTAGGAAGGTGTAAACATTGCCGATTTTTTGGAGGGGTGAGCCCAAATGCTCACTTTTTTTTGAAAATTTTGGAGAGAATGGCAAAAGTGAGAGGGAGGTAAAAAACCAAGAGGAAACACCTAAGAAATGTCTACCCAAGCCTGCACAGTACTAAGTTTTATCAATGAGTGATAAACTTTGAGCTTGTCGGCAAGTAGCATATGAGAACTACCTCTAAATGACAAGTGCCGTGCCTATAATAGGTCACTTTTCCCATGTCTCACGTTAAGGCTCTTTTCGAACTACACCAGCTGTATGTTATTCAAAAAAATGTTTCCAAATTTCCAAGGAGTGTTGTTATAAAAACTCATTTGTTGTTCTCCTTCTATTCTATTTTTTTGCATTATGGATTACTTCGTTAACAAAAAGGCCCCAACTTCTCATGAGCACCTTCTTTCCAGAATTTTGAAACCAAGGGTGCCAACTTCTGCCAGTTATCTTGCTTCCTAACGCTTTTGGTTTGTATGCCAAAAATGTAAAAAAGTCCCTCCTAGTAGCAAGTTGACCTTTATATAAACCATCCTATAAGCAGGTCTTCTCCTCTTCAACAAAATTTTTGTTTTTGTTCGGTGGGAAATTTTGGTCTAGATGATTATCGGAAAGAGTTGTTTAATATTTTTTTTTTTTTTTTTTTAATGTTAAAGGTGAGACCATGCTCTTATCTTTATTAAACTTAATGAAAACTTTTTACA